TGTGTGTAGAGGCAGGAAGATCTCTGTGAGTTTGAGGCCAGCCTGGTCTACAGAGTGAGTTCCAGGACAGCTAGGGCTACACGGAGAAACCTCTCTTGAAAAACCAAAGCCAGCCAGCCAACCAACCACACAAACAAACAAAAACCAAACGAACCAAACAAAAAACCCAGGTGGAATGGATAATTTCCTTGAAAAATAAAAAAACCTGAAGAAATTCATAATTACAAAGACATGGAGTCCACAGTTAAAAAACAAACTATGAAATGGCTATCCCAACATTTGCAATTTTAGGATGCCAGTATAAATAGACAAAGCATTAAAGGGAAATTGCAGACAATTTGACTTCTGAACACGAACACACGAAAAAGACCCTAGGGTGAACCTGGACATTGACATTCACTCATGTTTCAATCTGTCCCCCACCAAAAGTCAACCATGGAACTAGCAGGTACTGTACTGGCACAAGGAAAGCAAAAATGGATGGGAGCTCGTGGCCTGGCTGAGATGGGCGGTAAAGTAAAAGATCACACAGGGAAGGTACATAGAGGACCTTCTGCTGGCTTAAGTGTCTATCAAGAGACATTTGACCTGGTCGGGGAAGTGTGGGAAAGCTTTCCAGGCATATAAATGGACTAAGAGTCCTTGTGGGCTGCTGTGGGAGGCTGTCCCAGGGCCTCGGGTGCGAGAGATCTGATATACAGCAAGAGAGATAGCTTTGATGAACCAGTGAGATGGTTCATTGGGTAAAAGTTCCTGCTGAGAAAGCTTAACCTCACACCTGAGTTCAGCCGTGGAATGTAGGAGAAAGAAAGACTCGTGAAAATTGTCCTCTGACCACACACACACACACACACAGAGAGAGAGAGAGAGAGAGAGAGAGAGAGAGGAGAGAGAGAGAGTCATCAATGGAAATAAACTTTAAAACCAAAAAGATGGATTTGAGCCATATTTACAAGGTGAATTCCACAGACTCCTGGGTGAGTCACACCTGGTGAGGTCAGAGTTCAACCCTGTTGTCTCCAGGCTGAGTATATTTATTGACAAGGATTCCCAAAAGAGGTTCGGATTTAGGGGAGAATAGTGTGTGTGTGTGACTTTGGCCCTGTTGCATCTGGAATACCTTTCGGAAGGCTAAGTGGAGATGTATGGAGAAGAGGACACTGAACAGAGCCTGCCACTCTGGTGAGGGTCAGAGCTGGAGATTTGCAGTGGCACCAGCATGTAGGTGGTATTTAAACCCATCCTGCTCAGAAGGTCATCTGGGGAGGAGGTAGTTGGAGGAGAGGATCCTGCTGGAGAAGCACACCAATATTTAAAGGGAAGGTAGAGAAACAGAGAGGGCAAAGAAGTAGAAGAGGAGAGGTGCCAGGGACCAGAGAACCCAGGAGAGTGTAGGAATGGTCAGAGCTGGGAAAGAGGTCCCTGCCGTCTAGCCTGGCAGGGACCTCAAGGCAGTGGGTTATACAGCCCCACTGAGATCTGGATGGAGCTGGGGAAGAAATACAGAATCTCTTACAAATAAATAATCTAGTGCAAAGGGCAGCAGGAAGAGGGGTTGGGGGGCAATAAAATTGTTCTGCATGTTTATCCTGGTGGGCATCATACAATCTGTTCATTGGTCAGAGTCATAGTGCAAGGGAAGGTCTGTAACCAAAATGTTATTACCTGGGCTGGGGGGGGCGGGGGGGGGACCACGGCATGCGGCTAATTGGTAGAGTGCCTTCCTTCCTAGCAACCCTGAAGCACTGGGTTCGATCCCTAGCATTGCATAAACCTGGGATACGCCTATAATCCCAGCCGTAGAAAAGATCAGATGTTCAAGGCCATCCTCTGCAATCTAGGGAGTTTGCCATTAGCCTGGGCCACACCATCGATCTCAACACAATTTGCAAAGGGAAAAAAAAGGTGGTGGTGATGGGGTCAGTGGCAGTAAGACCTCTGGAGTTCAAGGCCAGCCTGGGTTCTTGCACAGCAAGACTCTGTCCCCAACAATACCAAACTAAGTAAAAACAATAGCATGATGGAGCCTTCCCCTTTAGCCCTCTATCAGCCCCTGGCTAGGCCTCTGTAGCGCTAGGTGTGCCCCACCCCTCAGGTTTTCACTTAGCCTACCACTGCACAAATTTGTGCAAGTCTACATCATGGTGGCAGCTACCCTCTTCTGCCTAGTGAGGGACAGCTCGAATATGCAGGATTGACAGAGCCAAAGGGCACTGGACCTTGGCCAGAGCCCCTCTTAGGGATTAACTGGTTGTGGTGGGAATACAGCCTGACAGCCTGGAACCTTTGGGACTCCCTTATTCAAGGAAGGGGCTGGATAAGGAAAGTCCTTTCTAGTTCTGATGGCCTGTGGTTCCATTGTGAAAATCCAAAATCCAACCCAATTAGCTGTGTTGCCTGTATTTTGTTATTGAGAATAATTGCAATAAACAACTACCATAACATTCGGCTCTTTAACACGTGAGTCCCCAGACTATTCGAGAATCAGTTTGGTTGGAGTGCTGGGAAACGGTATGGTTTGTGGTTTGAAGTCTTATAAAGTGCCTTGTAGAAATTATATTCAGTAACAATTTATAATAAGCACGATTCATGTAAGTTTGCAATTAAAAAGGGGACTTTTTACATTGTCCACTTCAAATGCTCCACCCTACCCCATCAATCCTGTCAGAGAGGCATTTTCCCAGTCTATGGGACAGAGAGATTGAAAGTCTGATCACTCAGGGCTTTGGCTGGTGTTGAGATTTTCCAAATGTTCCGAAACCCACAGTGGACACGACGCAGTTTTGGTGTTGAGTGTATTCCATTGTCTCCTAATTCTATGAAAATTAATGGAAAAGTGTTAATTGGGCATCAATGCACGCTTAACATTAATCCGGGCATTTGATGAACCACAACTTTATGTTGCCCCTCATGCCATATTAACTTGGTTTATTGTAATAATTTAAAACAATAAGGATAATTGTATCCGTACTGTTTTAAATACCTCATAAATTGAATACAGCCTGAATCTGGCCAGCCTGGAATCTGAAGTGTGCAATGCCTCTGGGAAGCTACAAACATCCTTTTGGAGTTTACACTTCGCTAGGGGAGGAAGGGAGCTTTTACTAAACACCTACTGAGTGCCAGGATCCATGAGGCACCTTATGGCTCCGAAAACGGGGGGGGGGGGGGGGGGGGGGGTTGTTCCCCCAACCAGGGCCATTTCACTCTGACGCACTTTTACTCTCTACACAGGAAGACCGAGTAACTTTAAACATAATAAATAACACAGATAGCAAACGAATAATCGTTTCATTTTTTCTTCTGAAATAACCACCCATCCTAGCCACCCTCGAGACGCCCCCAAACTACTACTACTCATTCTTCATGAACACTCGCTCTGAAACCCAATCATTTGACCTTGACCCCTAAAAACCCACTTTATTATATTTTTAAATCGTGGTTTGAGTAACGCGCAAACCCAGTCTGGGTGCTTGCTCGCCCCCTGGTATCGCGTCTGTTTCTCAAAGTTCCAAAATAACCT